AGTAGGAAGTTGTCTAGGTGCATCTCCAACTCTAAAATTGTCCTTGGATTTGCAAAGGAAATGGCAGTCTTGAATGTTTTCACCAAATTTTCTGCCACTCCGTTTGAGCAAGAGTGACGTGGTGCTGTGCGTAGGTTTCGCCACCCAATACTGTCCAGCCACGTTTTTAACTCCGCATCGCAGAATTGCGACCCATTGTCAGTCACGAACATCTGAGGAACACCCTCTCGACTGAAACACTTTCGTAGTACTCGCATCACAAACGATGTAGTTGGTGTGCTGGTTAGAAACACTTCAGGCCGTTCTGAGAGTGAATCGATAAGTACTAGTGCGTGATAATGACCGAGAAATGGTCCACAGAAGTCGGCGNTTTGACTTCTGTTTTTGTAGGCATGCTTCACAGTTCTTAGCAGTTCGACCAATGTCTTCATCTAGACCAGGCCACCAGCACATCTGTCGTGCCAACGACTTCACCTTCTCCACCCCTAAGTGGCCCTTGTGCAGGTCTTCTAGCACTGCCTCGCGTAACGGAGGTGGGATGATCAGTCGATCGTTGCGGCATAGTATTCCGTCAGGCTGGACACTGATTTCTTCACGGTGTGCATAGAATGCTGCGAACTTCCGCTTCAGGTCGGGACTCCATGCTTTTGATAGAGCCGTTATGATTTCTGCATAGTATCTTTTGATACATAGGCGCAACTCCTCTCGGGATACCGGGGCAGCAGCAGCAATCAAATGACACCTCTTAGTTTCCGAGAATTAGGACCAACGCGAGAGAAAATCGACCTGGGGAATTGTTTTGCCCGGATGGCGCACTATGTCAGAGTCGTAGGTAGCCAATGCAATGCTCCATCGCTGAATCATCGCTGCCGTCGGCTTAGAGATCGACTTTTGTGGACTGAATAGATATTGCGACGCTTAATGATCGGTTACGATGATGAAACGCAATCCAAACAAATATTTGTTTAGGCGACGGACTACCCAATATACAGCTAGTGCTTCGTTCTGCTTCTGCGAATATCCTCGTTCTGCCTTGTTGGATAGATGGGAGATGCAGACAATCGGACATCCGTTCTATTCGAGGACGGCATCAATGCCAACATCTGATGCGTCGGTGATCAAAGTTGGATATTTCATCAGACAAAACGAGGCGAGTACTGGTCGATCTGTTATCATCCGAATGATTTCACGCAGAATTTGTTCACAACCGACAGTCCATTTCCATTCCGTAGTCTACTGAGCAGCAAACAGCGGTTGGGCCTTTGTGGAGAAGTTCGGAATGAAACGCGAATAGTATTGGAGACATCCCATGATGGATCTGAGTTGATTTTAGTCTCTTGGTGACTCGTGTTCAGTCAATGGGCGGAGGCAACTTGGATCAGAACGATAGCCTTTTGCATCCACTGTGAAACCCGAAAATTCCAATTCGTGTGAGCAGAACACAAATTTGGTAGCACGAATTGACACGTTGTTTTGGGCGAACCGCTCCAGTAGTTTGAGGAGTCTGTCGTCATGCTCGGCCTTTGTTGTACCAAACACAATGACATCGTCCTGGTACGCTAAAACGCCTTCGAGGCCGCGGAAGACTTCGACAATCGCCGTCTGGAATATACCGGAGGATGTGTGGAGACCAAACGGTAGGAAGATATATTGATATAGTCCCCATGCTGTGTTGATAGTGGTGAATTGCCGGCAGGTTGGAGCGAGAGGAATCTGGAGGTATGCATCAGCCAAGTCGATCTTCGAGAAGGATGTGCAACCGTGCAATGCTTTCATAAAATCCTCCGGTTCCAAGTTGGTAGCCACACACTTTCGCAACCACAAATTCGCGCTGTTTTGCCGTCACTCTTGATCGCGATTACCATTGGCGTTGCCCACGTACTGGACGTAACTCGTGTGATTATGCCATCGCGCTGCGTTTTCTCGAGGGCCGAAGTACACCATCACTTTGGCCGTAGGGAATCACACGCCGTTTCAGGAAAATGGGTTCATCATCAACTTCCAGTTTGGCCGGCTGTACGTGCATACCTCCTGTATCATTGGAACATGTCACGACCAGACGCTGTAGATGGATGGTTTAATTCACGAATGGTGGTTAGGCTAAGTATGGATGGACTGCTTTTAGCAATTAGGAAGCGGATGGGAACAAGGTGATCTTTTGAATGTACCATCAATGAAACCTAACCAAGCAATGGCAATTTGTGTCCAAGCACCCCAAGGATCCGCACGGATGTCGGATAGATTTCGGCTTGGGGGAAGATTGGCCGAAGCACAGAAATAGAAATGATAGATTCCATGCTTCCCGTATCAACAGTGAATTTGTGCGTTGTGCCGGACTGAAATGTCACATGTGTATAGGAATTGGGTGCTTTGGCTTTCGGATAGTAGAGAGAGCACCAGATTTGTGTCTTTCGCAGCAGTCGGTTGTGCAAGATTGCAACGGGGCTGTTTGCACACTCTCTAAATGTGGCCAATTTTCCCACATGCATGAGACTTGGCATTTTAGAAGCCACAATTGGAGCGCAGATGGTAAGCTCCACATGACAAACACGGATTGATACGTTTCTCGTTGTCTCAAGAGTCGTGCTGCGACTTCGGTACGCACTTGGCCATTGGAGGTCGGTTTGGTCGGGTCTTCTGCCGTTGGAATAATGTGACTGATTCGCTGGAAGTGGATTTCATCAGGTCGTTGTGTCGCTCACAGATCGTGCGGGCATCGGCAAAAGTTAAATCTTTCTTATCCAGCAACTTCCGTTGAAGCGTCAGATTATTGATTCCTGCCACCATGCGGTCACACATTTGTTCTTCCAGGCGATCACCATAGTTTCAGCGTGATGCTTGTTTGTTCAGCTGCAGGATGAATTCACGGCAGGAAACATGATCGGCACGAATCATAGAGCTGAATTTGGCCCTTTCATGTGCTTGGAATTCAGTGGGCAGCAGGTGGTTGAGCAACAGCGATTTCAGGGACTCGTATGGTAGTTTGGCTGGAGCCTCAGTGAACGCCAGGTTTCTTAACAGGGAGTAGAGGTCACGGTCGCCGGCAGTAAGAAATAGGGCTGACTGATTCTGTGCACCACCTTTGCGAATACTGCACCACAGGTAGAATCGTTCAACCCATTCCTCGATCTCGGATGGACTTCCTTGCAGGTTCAGTTGCTCAATCGTTGGAAGCTCCATCACGCGACGCCAATTTGTAATGATTGTAGTAGTCGTAGTAGTACGCACGGAATTCGGAATGCAAACCATGCAATAAGAATAATTAGACATTAGTCGAGGATTAGCTGTCACGGACTGGATTACGGAAGCACCAGACCGCAATGGCACGAGCTCGCAATATCCCAGGTGAACGAGACGTGAGGAAAAGGCCACGGGAATGGTAGTACGTAGCTCGTTTATTGAAAGAAATGAGGGCGAATAAATAGTATGTACAAAAGATTAGTGGTTATCTAGGCTTTCACCAATCGGATTGAAATACTGCATGCATAATCTGGTTTCTGTCTGCACGGTCTTGGATTGGCTGGCACCTTCCACCAATGACGTNCAATGACGTGTATTCAGAAGCCATGCGTGTGTCGTTGACGTCAGCATTCAAATTTGATTGATCGCAAATGTCTTGAAACTGTAACGCACCGCTTCAGAGTAGGCGTCATCCCATAGGCTTTGATCACCACACATTCCTTTGGAAGACCTGAAACGACTGCTTTATTTTTGCACATACAACACCCAATTCAAGTTCAACGAGCAAATCTATCGGCAAAAGGATGGTGTGGCTATGGGATCACCTCTAGGACCGTTGTTTGCCGATGTGTTCATGGCGAAACTCTAAAATAACCAGCTCGAATTTTCCCTGCAGGATTGTATGTGGGTGTGAATGATATTCTGTGTGTGGTCAGCACGACATCAGGAACAAATGAGCTTTTGAGCAAATTCAATGCTGCTCACCAGAACACAATATTTACTTTAGAAATGGAAAACGACAACAAATTGGCATTTCTAGACGTCTGTTTGAGTCGTAGATCCGATGACTCGGTGCAACGCTCAGTACATAGGAAGACGACTTGGGGGGGGGCAATATATTCATTTTCGCCGTTCTGTACCGCTCAATGTGAAGAGGAATTACGTGCGCTGTCTAGCAGATAGAGCAAGGAAAATTTAGAGTGAGGACACAATAGAAGAAGAGCTCCGGTTTTTACGTACTATCTTCACACAATGGCTATCCAAAACGCTTGGTTAGCAAGATGATTCAGTGCAGTGGAGATATTGTGAAGAAGACCGAGGTCAGAAAGAAGTCGGTATACGTTGCCTTGCCGTTCAAGGGGGATACATCAACAAAAGTAATACAGAGGAGACTATCAGCTGCTGTTAGTAATACCTTCCATGCAGCAAAGCTCAATGTTTTGTTCACTTCCCATCCAATTGTGTGTTTACGACTAAAGGACAAAATTCCCGATTCTGCCGTCCCATTTTGTGTGTACTCATTTACGTGTTTCTGTGGAACCACGTACATAGGCCGCACGGTCAGGCGTTTGTCCGAACGAATCCGTGACCACCACTCCGCATGGCTAAACAGAAGAACGATTAAGTCACTTATTAGTGGAGTGGTTTCACACCTAGTTGAAACAAATCACACTGTGAATGTGACCGATGCATTCCGTCCCCTGAATCGGGTTCGTGGTCGATTATCAAGGCAGGTTCGCTGTCCTATGCTAACCACAGCAGAAGCGGTAGGAATTCGGCTGCACAACCCCCTCTATGTGCCCAAAAACAATTTGTGCAGGCGCTTAAACGCCTGGCCCACTCTCTACACACCCCATATTCCGATTGGTCCCAATGATCGGATGACCTAACAATTATGTGATCATTGCGAATTCCACATACGGTCCCAAGATGAACTTAGCCCCGGATAACCCATGAGGTTATTTCCCCTTTCCCAAAACAATTGTTTGCTTTTTTATGGTTGAATACTGACTTATATATAAACAGCGTAATATTTATTGTGATGTATTAGGCGTGACTACGAATCACTGAAAACGAGCTTGTTCCCCACTCCTTGTTCTATTTGAAATGTGCTCTGTGGGACTGTTTAGACAATCAAAGAATTGTTGTTCCTTACCTATAGGGGACGGTCCAACGACGTATTTCATATCCATGCCGGAATCCGTTGACCGTGTGCTAATTACCGCGCTAACAAGATCTGAAGCTATGTGATGATCCGGTTTGCCGTTTTAGTGGACGGAAACTCTACCGGGATTATTGATGTAAAATCTGAATTATAGAATTTCATAACAAAAGTTGAGGGAAAGTATTTTCAATCTGAGTCATCCCACTTAATCGACAGGACAGCGTAATCTTTGTAAAAGACGACACCTCGATTCAAGAACGAGTCTAATATGATCTGTTCACCTCATTCTTTTGAGAGAGAACCGGCGTTGGAAATGCCCCATTTTCGATTGAGCAGGTGAATTTCCCTCCGTGAAAACGAACCCCGATAGGCCAACTAATCAGACTCTTTGTTAGATCATCCAGTGACCATTGACAAGCATATAGATAGGGCAATCCAAATTGTGTGATCCAGTTTGAGATGCAACATTTTTCAAGTTACAACGCTCGAATCAGTCAATCACTTGACAACTGGTCATGGTAGATATAACACCTGGACAAAACGCTTCTGGTATCCGATGACAGAGTGAAACCAGCTGATTCCGATTGTTTCAACCGTACACCAGGAAAGGATAAAGTGTGTGTGATTTAGATCCAAAAGAAGGAATACATAGGGTGATTTTGAATATCCCAGTTGGAGATTAGCCTCGACTAACTGTTGATCTATTGCGCTTTACACTGTTCTCCCACCCCAGGGTGCTGTCCCCCTATTCTATGAGAGAGAGAGGCTATTCTGAACGTAAGGACGAGTCTACCTAACGAGTGAAACATTTATGCAGTGGACACAGCGCGGTTTTGAGTCTCATCGTCTCGGTTTAATCACAAATGAGGAAGTTCCGTATTGTTGTTACTCACTTGGGTAGCTTCGTATCATTTATTACAATGAATTCATTGAAAATGTAAACCCCCATGGTGGTTTGATTAGGGGGATGATACATTAAGTGAAACAGAGGGAGATTATCAGTTATTGTTCTTTTACCCAAAATGTATGTAGAAAAGAATCGTTTGATAAACATAAACACATGAACATTGATAGTAATATCTCATTAATTTCTCTGCAAGAATGGTCCAGTATCAGATGAATAGATTCATATTTATACCCGTCTAATGTAGCGCATCCTCACCGTATGGTTCCTTTGTGTCTGCTAACGGCACTCCCTGGGTCTGTCCCCTGGCCTAAAATGCTTTGATATCAAACCGGGGTATTGCTGAATTTGGTGTACTGATTGACGGGACATTTACTGACAGCCTAAACCCCCTCCCGCCGAGCGCACGCGCGCGCACACACACACGCCTAGGTTTTTCTCGGATCAAAGAGTTCGGCTTCGCACGACTTGGAATCGTTTCCTTCACCTATGCACTACTGTTTAGGGGTACAGGAGAGAAACAGAGAGAGAGGGAGAGAGCGCATGCTGTGCGTTACAATAATATGCAACAACATGCCCACTGAAGGATTGCAAATGATAGAACAAAATGAAAAGAAAAAAAAATCGAAAAAAATAGTGCCAATAAAGGAAACATCTTTTGGAAGTGAAATAACCAAGAGGTGTAATTTCCGAGCTCAGAGCCACTTGAATAGACCACGTGACATAATCGATTAGTACGAGAGAGATATCGTGTAATCAGTTCAGTTCAGTTCAGTTCAGTTCAGTTCAGTTCAGTTCAATTCTCACAGGACGAATTGTGACTGTTACCAATCACGCGTCCAGTTTTTCGTGTTGTCGGCGATTTCGTTGGTCTCAAACACTTCGAGTCAATAGTAGTTTCTGAAAGGCAGAATGATAGTGTACAGTATCAGATAATCCCTTACAGTTTGTTTCGGAACGTAAAGCCTAACACGATTAACTTTCAACACTCAACTTCCGGAAATACCACTGCCCAGCATTCATCTGGCCTTCTCTTGAAAGATTCAACATTAATACAGTTAACCACTGCTTTAGGTAATTTATTCCATAGTGGTATAACTCTGTTTGTGAAGAACCTAGCTCGCAAATTTAGTCTACAATGACTTCTTTCCAATCTGAGTTGATGTCCCCTCGTGCCCCCGGCAGGAACAAACGAAAATACGTTTTGGAACTGTAGACCCGAAAGCCCTTTGACAATCTATAAGATCGCCGCGCATGCGTCTACGGACCAGGGAGAACAGGTCCAGGTCCCTCAGTCGTTGGAGGTATGTCTTACCTTTCTGGCCTGCTGCCATTCATATTACTGCCATATCTGAACTTCAAAATTTCTGAATCCCATTGTTCCCATTGTTTGTGTGGTAAGAGATCCCGTGATTGTTCTCTAATTGTTCCAATAACATGTAAAATCGCGTTTAAAATTGTCAACAACCGATTACAGAAACGATAGCGAAATAGCATTTTTGTGTTTTCCAGCATTACCATGTCACACAGATTGTCGGTTTGTGTGTGTGTGTGTGTGTGTTGGACGTGTGGGCCCCTTATTCTCCTCCCTATTCCTTGCCCTTATCTCAGTCATTCTCCTACCTTCTCCTCATTGACAATTCATCTTGCCTATTTCCGGCTTAAGTAACTCGTTGTGTTCTATTTATTTGATTAATTGTTTATTCCACTGGTTTTTATGTCTGCTTTTCAACAACAAAATCAATAATATCTTTCCTCTGATAACGAGCAGTGAACCGAGCACCAAACTGTAATCAATGGTAATGATCGTACTAGTAGTAGAAGGAAAACACACTGAACTCGGAACGCGAACCACGTAATAAGGAGTCACAGAACACGAATCAAGGATCAGCTGTCACGGACGGGATCACGGAAGCACTGGACCGCAATGGCACTAGCATGCAGTATCTCACGCGACTCAGACGCGAAGAAAAAGGCCATAGGAATGGTAGTTGGTTTATCGGAAGAAGTTGGGGGCGATTAAATAATATGTACAAAAGAAGATTATTGGTTATTTAGGCTTCCACCAATCGGATTTCAAAACTGCTTGCATAATCTTGCTTCTGTCTGGACTACACTGTCTCGGATTGGCTAGAGCCATATGCCGGTGGT